TGCCTCTCGCTCAGCTGCTGCAAGAGCTTCTGCATCCCGACGAGTTGCTTCTTGACGAGCTGCTTCTTGCTGAGCCAGCTCTTCTTCTGTTGGCTCGGGTTGGTCTTGGGGTGGTTCATCTCCTTCGGGTTCACCACCTTCGGGTTCTTGCGGTCGAGGAGCCCTTGCGGCACGCGCGGGGTTACGTCTACCCCCTTGATCTGCATCCCCCATATTTCTGTTACGAGAAGAGATCCTTAAAGTGTTAGCCTGTTAAGCGAATTTTCCGAAGTTCCGCTGTAATTAGCTAATCTACCATGTAACGAAGGTAAAGAGTCTTGGGTCAGGATTAACGCTGTGGGCCCATAACCCTTGAGGGGAAATGGCAGTGTTCCTGACTTAGACTGAAAATGAAAAAGTGAGATGGGGCTGCTGAGCAGCCCTGATTCCCAACAGGAGAGGGTTACTCTATACTGTCTTAAAGTGGAATAGAAAGAGAGAAAGGGAAGGAAATTGGGAAAAGGAGGAAGGACCCCCATACTAAAGTGGGGACCTCAGTCTCATGAAGATATGAGACTGCCAGGTAGGGAGAAAAGGGAGAATAAGCACAGTGGGGCAGATACAGGAGAATCTTCCTCCTGAGACCCCCGGCGAAAACCAAAAAACAAAAAGATCTGCGTAAATAACGCGTTAATAACGCTAATAACGCGTCAATAGCACCGTGGCGACGCTCACGTAAATAACGCCGTCCAATGACGAGATCGAGCGAGAGTTGACTTTTCAATAGTTGGCTGACCTCATACACTCCGCTGTCAAAATTCAGGCGCAATATCTGCCTATATTCGGGAAAGAGTTCCAATTGAACCTGTTGAGCGGAAGTACCAGCGAACTCCAGAGATAACTGCGTAGAAGATGCAAGAGTACCTCTCCCCGCGCACATTACAGCCATTTGGGAATCAGCCCAGTGTCCTCCCTTCTGCTTATACACCATAAATTCCCTTGACCGCAAATCATGATTGCCTGAATTCTCTATACACACCGGATCTTCTTAGGTATGGTGACACCGGCTACGCCGAGCGGGCGTTTTTTGGGGGGGACTACGGTCACGTCGCCGAGATGCCGGCGAGCTTGGAGAAATACTCGAAGAACAGAAGTTGGAAGGTTGTCGTGGGCGCGATGCGGGCCCACATGGGGATGAAGCCGGCCCACAACGTCAGGGGGCCCTCCTTAGTGGCGATCTTCACGAAGGTGTCCGCGATGTTGTTGTAGACCTTGGCCCCGTCCGCCGGCCTGCGGGGCGCCGCGATATCCAAAAGTCCACGCGTTGGAAGCGCGAAACGAGCGTCGCATCGGCAATTTTCGACGAAATTGACGATTTTCGGGA